GTTAATTTATATGATACTAGACTCACCCTAGCTACGCTCGCGTTCGTCCCTACTTAGGTTTTAACGTTTAGTACCTATAGATTTCTCAGAGATGAGATATTTTCCCGCAGTAAAAAATATCCTATATGTTGATCCGGATAACTAACTATCATCATACGAAATTTCATCAAAAACCCCAGACAGACTGACAGACAAAAATTCTAAAAACTATAGATTTGGCCTCTGTATTGATAATAATGATTATTTCAATAAGATTTTCCAAAAAATATTTAATGTACAGATTCGACTCAGTTAGAATTTTATTATAGAAACGTCAAAAGTAACCAAACTGAGAGTTTGCACTTCGGATTTCATACATACTCGTAGTAATTTTTAATGTAACCAATGTGTACACACATGTGTGTGTGCTTGTTACTAATGCACGCTCAAACGGTTGGAAGGATTTGGATGAAATTATATATGCAAATAGACTATAACCTGAGATGATACATAAGCTACTGTTTGGCATTTAGGGACGAACCCGAGACTGAGACTCATTATTCATAAATAGAGGAATCTCCTTCTACCATGTTACCTGCAAGAATCTTTACCATATGTAAAGTTTCTAGATATACCTAATTTAATGCTTCGCAAGAAAATCCTTGAAATCCTTGAGGTTAAAGGAAAAGTCAATATATGTTCAAGTTAGTGGAACTTGAAATGGCTTCATTTATTTTAGGAATAAACGTGTTTAACTTTCAGTAGTGCCAGAAACTTGGCTGCATTGAAGCACAAATATTCGTACAATATGGCTTTCAAATGCTAATTTATAACTGTATAATTATTTATTAATAATAATAGTTAATTAGATTTAACTACTATAGTGGAGTAATTCTACGTAATGTGTATAATATATTAATTAACAGTATCTAAATCAATAGCTTCTGAAATTCAGACTGATATTATATTCTGCCTGTCTGTTTATAAACAACAGATACATAATCTGATCTCAAGAAGTAACAAAAGAAGCTTCCTATTCTAAGTACTCTTATATAAATATGTATAAAGTAAGGATCATGTTTATAGTTTACGAATTACGTGACTGAAACTATAAGATCTTTTCGAATTCGCAAAATAACCGACAAGATATTATTGAGATAAAATGTAGCTTATGTCACGCTCGAAGCCATAAATTATCCATGTGTATAATATCATGTCAACTCGCCTCTCCGTTTCTGTGTATAAATATTTTCAACAAAAAAAGTACACAAACTTCAAAGTCAATGTTATTATTACAGCCTTCAGGATGGATTTTTTGTAAGACAGCCTAAGAACCTGAGGTATAAGATTAAACCTGATCATTAAAAAATTATGACAATTCATTCATGACGTATGTACATATATAGTACCTCCTTATGTTAGTCAAAAAACAATAAATAGACTTATACACTTTTTCTTTGTTTATACTTTTTTTATTTATATTATCTATTTAAAGTGTTAAAACAAACAAAGTTTCACGTCTTCATCATTTTTCGATCTCAGTTGTTAATATCAATAAAAACTGCGAATCAAATTCATTTAGGTATATTCTATCGTATCTTAGATTATAAAATTATATTACATAATATTTATTAATCGCAGTAAAATAAAGTAAAAGAGCGTAACTGTGAAAGTATGATGCTTTCAATATTTTGTAAGATTTTTTTATTCAAACTAGGAAATCTTTTTTAAGAAACTTTCTCGAATACTGTCGGTATTGTAAGTTTTACTGCTCGAGGATATGCACTAAGTATAAGGGAAACTAATGAAAGTTATATAAGTAAAAGGATTCTTAAAATATTTTATATTAAAATATTGTATAACTTATATTTCCCTGTTTTAATATCATAAGTATAAAATAATATTAATATCTCTCTTTCTCTAAGCTACCTTGTTGGTTGTTTATACCCTTATGATGAAATCCTCTGTTTGAGTCCAAGATGAGGCCAAAAGTTGATTGAGTAAATTAGTTTGTTATTTTTAAATGTAAGTAATAATATTTATAATAAGTAACACGTATAAAGATAGACAAATTATAGTCATTTATCTTACTACATTTTAATCTTAAAATCTCTTCGAGGAGATTGAACTTCATAGGTTTTGTAGAAACAGAGAATTTACGGAAAATTTGCTATTTAAATAAACAATCTAATTAGTAAAGTAATTATTATATACAACTAGCGACTTAGCCTCACTTCGCTCAGGTAACTAACAGTAAAAAACTCCAGGCTATGGCCTACCTTCCCCCCAATATGCGTTCACTTTTTCGTTTGGGGCTGGGCCGATTAGCGTCCGGCAATCTATCCGGGCGAAAAGCCAAGAAATGCACTGGATGGCAGCTCACCTTGGTGGGTGGTGTGCCATGCGGAGTGCTCCAGGTACTTCTCAGATAGCAAAGCTTTGTTGGAGCAACCTCATGGTTGTTGTGGTCTGCCTAGGAAGACCCACCGTCGCGTCGGGGCGTCATGATTATAATATAAATATAAATGTTGGGACATTAACACAAGCTACGAGACTTATGTTATAAATACTAGATAGTTGACACACTATACATATACAACTTTAAATACATTCCTATTTTGAATATAAACAAACATTCGTGCTCATCACACAAATGAATGCCCCCAGCGGGAATCGAACCAGCGACCGCTGGCACAGCAAGCAGGGTCACTACAAACTAAACCAAACGTGTCGTCAAATTGACGACATTGACGACACGATTGAGTGCGTAAGGGATCCTGCGATGCCCCATTAAGACGGGAGAGACCCGTTGGGTTGCAGTGGGCAAAATCGGCTTTTCTAGCCCGTGAGTCCCACTTAACCACATGTTTGTATGCAGGTGGTATGCGTAAATGCATTTCCCAACGTTAAAAAAAAGTAATAATCTACCCCTGTAATAAATTTCATCCTATCTCGTCTAACCGCATGAAAGTGTAACAAACAGACAGACACATGCATACACACACATTAAAAATTTCTCTTATCATATAATAGTAGTCCTATTCACAATTTTTATAACAACTCTTCTATAGTCTACACTCTAGACCACGGAGATAATTATAGCACCCAATTAAAAAAATCTTTAAAATAACTTAGAAACTAGCAATATTTCATGGAATAATAAAGTGTGCAAAAGTTCCCAAGCAGCCAATTTTAAGCAACTTGTGACAACTTTGATTAGGGTGCAATTAACTCGCCCTTGGGACAACCGAATTTAATTTTGCAAGCAGTCATCACGTGGGATGCTTGGATATTTACTGAGATTCATACCGAGTAGTGGTGGTGAATGCTTAAATAAGTTGGAGGCTGGAGCGGCTAATAATAGTGCTACAAAATAAAAAATACTATAAACACATAATTTGCAATATATTATTTGCATTTTCTTAAAACTCTGCTAATTAATTTTTCTTTTTCAATTACGTTTTCCTATGCTAATAAAAGAATATAAAAAATATTAAAATATATTCTATTAAACTATATAAAACATGTAATCTAACAGACACAAAATATTAAGTCCCATATTAAAACTTAGACAAAACTTTTTTTTTTTACCCAACTTTCCCCCTCTGCCGCCATGTGGGACGCCACGGGATCGCTCTCGCATACCCCCGACGGTTGGCCGAAGCCACCAACCATGAGGCCGCCCCAAGCGGGACAACCCCATTATGGGAAGACTTGCAACCTAAGAAGTGAGGCCGCTCCTAAGTCCACTCTGCTGATCAGAGATGTACCCGGAGCAGCCCCACACCACACAAACACCGCCCACCGAAGTGGGCAACCTGCTAAAATAATTCCCCACCCAAATTGGGCAAAACCCCCTCCCAAAGACGCCCGAAAACGAGCCCAACCGCAAACGGCTGCAGGAGAAGAGGATGCGACAACGCCGACACTCCCCTTCCCCTGCAGCCCCAAAACTTAGACAAACCTATATTATTTTATTTTCAAACTCGAACATTGAATGAATTTTTTTACACATCTTAACATTAATAACTACTTACAAACCTTTATTGTCTTCTAATTGGCGAAATAATCTATGCTCAACTGGCACGTTTTGAAGTCACTAACAGGAAAATTGAGTTGTATTAAGCCTTTTGTGGGCGTCTTAAATGTAAAATAATGATAACATTATTTTTGCTTTACTATTTTTCTTATTAACGTACCTGATATATCTTTAATATACAAGTAATATTACAAATATAAAAGGATTTTTCTTTAACAGTTCCAAGACTTAACGCCAGAAGAAAATGGGAATAAGCAATAGAGTGTTTATAGACTAGGGTGAATAAATAATGATAAATTTTTATTTATAGTAGAGATTCGATAAAAAAAAATTTAAGTTAATATAATTTTATTTATTTTTCTTAGTTAGTTATTTTTCTTATTTATGTGTACTTATTTTTAAACTGAAAATTTGAATTAGTTTCAAATTAGTTAACTACTTCATTGTAATGACAATTGTGGTGTGTAAATGTTTCAGAAAACGAAGCATTTGTGAAAACTTTGATAAGAGAACTAAATTTATTCTCCGTGTAGACACATTCCTATTTTGCGAGCTGTTAGCAAGTGATTCAGAAACGGTTGGAAGCTTTTCCGAAATCTAACAGGCGGTAAAGCGGCTAATTAGACAGATATTGATTGTAAATAACTGGACTACAGTCGATGCAAGCCAAATGAGCCTGGCAGCATTACAAAGCTCATTATTTAAATATTACTTTACTGTACTATTAAAGTATAAAAAAAACATTTTTAAACAATCCACTAAAGCCATCCTGGTAAAATACGATATATATATTCGTAGACGTCAAATAAATAAATTCTTATTTATATTCAAGAAGGATAAATGTGTAACGATTTAAAAAAAACATTACTTTTTAAATTTATATTTAGTTTTGTAAAAAAATATGTATATTAAATACAAAATGTACATGCATGAATAACAATTATGATTTGTGTTATTAAATTTTATTCGGAGGCAAATATTATATTTCTTTTTCTGCTGGTGTTTCTTCTTCAACAACAACTACGTGTTTGTGAGCTCTTCGTCTCCCATGAGGTCCACGCCTCACTCTTCCTTCGTCAATACTCCCGTCTCCACCTACCTAACACAGTACTGTATTAGCATACTGTATTTGTATTATGCACAGAATTATTGTATTTTAAAATATTACATATATTTTAAAATATAATGATTCTATGCATAATACAAATACATTTCATGTTTTATGTTCTCATTTTTTAATGATAATATATTTATTTAAATATACTACATGGGCATTTAAGTAAACTTATTGTTCAATAATTAAGATAATATATTAACGACCCTAAAATATCATTTAAAAATCTATCAAATTAATGAATTTAACATCCACCCAAGATAAAATTATTAAAAAGGCTTGTTTATTTTTAAATAATCGTTTACTACGAACAGTAACTAATAAGGTTTTCTTTTTCAAAATATAAGTCATGCACTCACCTGTACAGTTTTCCTTCCTACATTGTTTTGTAGAAATTGATTTACTGCTCCCAGAGTATTAATTGGTATCTAAAATATATAAATATATTTATAAAATGACAACTTTATCGAGTGTGTTCCGACGTCATATGGTCGGTTTCACATGCGTAATTAATTTTAACGTAAAAGTATTTCAAATTTCTATTATCTTTTCATTTATATAAGGAAAAATACTCGCCTTGTTCTTAATTACGCTTCATCTGTTGAAATCAAAACACGGAAAACAGGCGTCGCCTACATATTCGATTAATGAATAATTTAATAAATATATTAGTAACCTTCACCATATTCCGTTATAAATGATATAATAACTTATTTAATATAATATAAAGAAAAAAATATAAACTATATGTTGGATAGACTTATTCATAATTGTATAATAAAGTTATACGGCGTCAAGTTTTTTCATTTTACACTTCCAATTACTTTGCTTATAATTGAATCACAAAATAGAGCATGAGCAGAGCCGGAGCCGTATAACATTATGCTACAACATTTTTATATATTATTAATTAAAAAAAATTAAACCCAAACTTTACCAATAGTCTTGATTGTTATATATATATATTAGTTTTTTTTATTTATAAGTTTAGATAAATCCCATACTTTGTTATATTTTTAGATGATTTCATGTAGTAATGAACTTACAGCGAATATATCTTCAATGAATTTTGAAGCAGTCGGTGTTTCGACTGAAACATGAGCGGATGATGATACTGATGATGAGGAAGGATCGTGTTTTAATGATTTTGATTCTGATTCTGCAAAATATATAAGAATTAAATTATCATATTTTAAAACTACGACAAAAGCGAAAAAAATAAATGTAATAATACTAATAAAAAAAGAGTAAGTAAAATGTAAAAGAGTATAATAATCGACTATATACATTATACATAAACATCATTAAAATGACTAAGGAAACCGAGATACGAGTACCAAGATTATCCCTACCGGTATTTGGCCGCAGGTCGCTATTGAGGGCGTAAAAAGGAAATAAAAATATTTTTTTCGCGAAATTAAAAGCGGTTGCGGAAATTTTAATGAAAGCGTTATTTCCCTTGTTTCACTTCAATCTGATAATAAACCAGATTGTTCATACTTTTGGCTAAAAGGAAGTAAGGATCTTAGGATTTTTTGATCATAAGTAGACATTATTTTTCAAAGCGTCTTTATATTTTTTTGAAAATGATCTTTTTTTTGTATCAATTTTACTGAAACGTAAAAAATATTGAACCATAACACCAAAGTATTTATATTATTTTTTGACATTTACATAATTTTTATACAAATATTTATTTATTTATTAATTTATTTATTTATATACTACAAAATATCATAAAATATATTTATTACATGATTTTTTTAAAAATAACCACCTGCTTGAACGGTTGCACTTTTTTGTACTGATATATTTGTATTTGCAGCTGTATTTCCTAGAAAACTACCCACCGCTTTCAATGTCGATATCGGAATCTGAAAATTATTAGTAAATATTAATATTGATGTACATATACGGCATCTAGAAGTAATAAATAAGACATAACCAATATTGGTAGCAAATTCTAGGGTTCTATTTACCAGAATAAAGAGAAAATATTGTACGGTTAGTTATCTAATATTGATTGGAATTAATTATACATAACTTATTTCAAACATTTTATTGTGAGATATAATGTCCTCCTGACCGATTCCGGCCACGGCGGCCAATCTCATTGAGATTAGCCAACTGAGCAGGAGATAATATAGTGCACAAGTGTACGCGCAGACACAAGTGCACTCTCTATCCTATCACTCTCATATTCCGGTGGGACGACTACTCGACACGACCGATGAGAGTTAAGGCGCAGGACCGACGGCTTTACGTGCTCTCCGAGGCACGGGGGTGAAACACCGCCAACGTCCCAACTCCGGGCTGTTACTGAGGCTTACTATACAGAAAGACTCAATAACTAAACTTGGCGTGACCCAGGACTCGAACCCAGGACCTCCGGGTGTGCAGCCGTACATGCTATCCACTACACCACCGAGGCAGAAATATAAATGTGAGATATAAACACATATTAGTTATAATATATGTGCTACTTACGTTAAATATATCTTCGAAGAAACTAGGACTTTTTTGATAGGTCACATGTTTAGTGTAGACATGACCTGAGTTGACTCCACCATTTACGTGTCCTTCTACTGCTGCACCTGCACCAGCATTCACAGATGACGAAGCTGCCACATCTATCCTTTTCTCGATCTGTGGCTCAACAGTTTTGTATACTACAGGTGCTCCGATATCACCCTGTCCTCCGACATACCCACCTACAAAAGCTGTTTTGCGGAAATGATGCCTTCTTGGCTTATAGTGTGTGCGAATAACTTCTTTCTCAACAACTTTCGTTTGGGGTTGTACGTATACCTGTAAAATTGTAATGTTATTTATCAATTTTTGGGACACCGTCACAGATCAATCTCAAAGGTAGAAGTTAGCATTTGGTGTAATAATGTTAGGTAAAATCATATAATACGAGTACAACATATTTAAGGAATACAAAATGCGTTAAGCTGTAGGCTGTCTTATAAGCCTTTAGTGCAATTTCATCTTAAATTTAAGATATACCCGGGTCACGCCGGGATTAGCATATTTGTAATTATGTTCGGGCTTTCACCTTCATCGTGAATCTGCTGTAATATAATTCTACATAAATATTTAAAATACCTTGAAGTTCATGGACATAAAGACCAGTCCTTTAAAACTACAAGGATTTTGTATAACTACAATAAAATATTAATATTAATGTCAACAATTATTTTTCATATTTAGAAATTGAGTGTATATAACACTCCCACAGTGTCTGTTGTTAACACAATATGTGTTTTTTTTAGGCTGCCTCATAAGCCTTTAGTGCAATTTCAATAAAACTCGAGAACAAACCTGGGCTTCGCTAGGATAAGCGTGTTCGTAATTGTGTTCCGATTTTCGCCTAAATCTTAAATTACCTGTTGCAAATGCAATTTTAAGTAAAGAACCTAAAGGACCTTGAATACCATAGACTAGTATCACTTTCTGTCTCTCTGATTTACTATGAAGATTCCATACAATATTACTCACTTCTTTTACCACAACTGGTTGTACATTTTCATGTACAATTTTCTTTTCTATATGAGTTTTTACTTCTGTTTCTACCTTTGGTGCCCTGGCTAAGGGCTGAACTTCATTAAAAGCATCAACATTAAACTCAGCATGTATCTTTTTCTCTGTTGGTTTTACTTCAACGGAATGCACTGGGATAACAATATTTTTTGTTCCAGTGAAGGAAAATTCTGAAGAACCTCCTAAAGAAGATTCGCCTCCCTAAAAGAGTAAAACTTATTACAAATATAATTTAAATTAAATAAAAATATTTGATACAAGCAAACAGGTGTAATATGGAGAGTGTATAATATATTATAAGCAATTGCTGAGCATTCTCATGCATATTGCATATTAAAATGTGAAAAAAGTATTATAAAATGAATTAAATATACTACTTCATATGCATGCTCATTGCATATTTTACATGTTGTTTTTACCTTTTTCGGTGGACGTATGACTGATGAGAGATAAAATGGTACATAAATGAAGAAAAAAATATTGTTATTATGATTAAAATTTATTCCCTAAGTACATAAAAGATCTGCAACATTAACTATGAAATAAACACTAAGATAATATCCACCAAAGTGTACTTATTATATACATATTATAACATCTAATGTTTCTTTTGTTGAGCTCGTTTAATTTCCTTCTTTCTTTGTTTCTCTTCCTTTCGCCTTTTGCGAATTTCACTGAGGTTATCACCTACCATTCCAGTTGCAGCGTAATTATTTCCAGCTTGAGCTGAAGCGTATCCAACTCCACCGGAATGTTCAGCGCCCACTCCTCCAGCTAGACCTGCTGATGCCTTAATTTTACCGCCTGCTGTAGCGCCTGCATAAAGGCCACCTACAAAAAAACGAAAGATCGAACGAATAAAAAATGTTATTTAAGGCTTTTGCTAATCTTAAAACATAAAAAAGTGAATATTTTGAAAACTTTTTTAAATTGAAACAAGTAATATATTTACGATTAGACATTATTTTTAAAGATATATTTCTATGATGAAGTATGCTATTACCAGCTGCGCCTCCATTTTCACTCACTCCTCCTCCAAGACCAGCTCTTGCTGACTGGCCATGAGGAGTTCCAGCTTCAGCATATAAACCTCCAGCGCCGCCACTTCCACCTGTGCACAAAATATAATCCATACATATAATAAAATTCTAATAAAGCCGAATCTGTACATTAAATATATTTTGAAAAATCTTATTGAAATTTATTATTGATACATAGGCCGAATCTATAGTTTTTAGAATGTTTGTTTGTCTGTTACCACATCACGGAAAAACCACTGGAGGGATTTTGATTAAATTTGGTATAGTGATAGCTGGTTATCCGGGTCAACATATAGAATATTTTTTACTGCGGGAAAATATCTCATTTTTGAGAAAAAATACAAAAACTGCAATGTAATATGTAATATATGTAAAACCTAAGAATTTGGTTTTTGGAATTCTGAACGCGGGCGGAGCCGTGGGCAATGCTAATAATAACATAAAACTAAGTTATGCATCTACAATTTTAAGTTAAATAAAAGTTTGTCACGGAAAATTTATATTTTGTCTTTAGCCGATCTTTATACAAAAATATTAATTTTTGGTACGATAAAAACATATTCAAGCAAATTATTCAAGCTCGTAGTTAAAGAAGTTAAAATGCAACACTTGCTTTTATTACGTAGTCTTATACTTACTGCATAATACATGTATTATTACAAGATAACATCTTTTATCATTTTAATATGTTACAAAGTTATTTAAGAACAACAATAGTAACATTATTTAACACAATATGATAATTAGTAGATTTGTATCTAAGAGACAATATCCACTTGGCTGGGAAAGGTAGTTTTATTTTTCGAGCCTGATGATAGTAAAATGTTAAAAAAAGCAGAAAGCGTGGATATGTAAATTCTTGCAATCACAATATACCTCACAAGGGAAATAGCTAAAAGCTGAGTAGTGTAGCCTAGCTGCTATTGTAACCATGAATCGAACTTGACTGTGAAACTACTATCATCGTACAGACTATAGAACTAAGTAGCAGGATCCATAATGTTGCATTTGCTGGTTATAGGATTAGGGAGGGTTAAGTCTTCGCCTTCTATTTCTAACTCTCCTTTTTTCTCTTTTCTATTTATTTTATTTAAACACTTTATTGCACACAAAAATAAAAATGATACATACAAAAAAAATACAATAATTTTTCTTTTCTATCCTGCCATTGAGGAGATGTAACATAAACGATATTTCTAATATAACAAGTGATACTATCTAATACGTGAAACTGCTATAAATAATCCCAATATATCAAAAATAAAGCAATTGTACAATTACCTAGCAGACCACCAATACCGACACCAGCATGATAGCCTCCAAAATTTACTCCTAATTTTCCATCATTGAAGGATATGAATTGCGGTGCCTGCAATTAAATAAATTCATTCATTAGAAATACAAGAATAGATATATTTGTTCGCAATTAACAAATGTGTAATTAAATAGTTATTAGCAATTATTATAATTTTATAGAATAGCAGTAAGTACGTTGTCGTAGTCATAAAGACAAATAGGTAGCTCAGCACCACAGTTAGATGACAGAATACAATTCATTTTCTATCTTAGAAAAATAAAAACAAACATATTCACTCATATAAAATTTGTTGCAAATGGTACTTTTCACTTTTCTTTCATTTAACAAGGACAATGACATGGGTTTTACTAGTTTTAATACAGAACCTTTTATACAGAATCATTTATCTTTAATCATTTCATGATCATATTAGTAACAACTCGCTGATGAGTGATATCACAAAAAACAACCAAATTATTAATCTCACTTAATTACAAAGCGGGAATTTCCGTAAATTACGATGTTAAATACCTAATTCAAACTGCTTGGATTTGTATATTGACATAATATTCTATTTAAAATATATTAATTGATCATAATATAATATTCAACAGGTGCCCCAACGTGCGTTCACCTACTAGCTAATCTGGCAGCAGCTCAGCCGGGCGCAAAGCCAAGAAACGCACAGGGAGATGGCCCACTTCGGTGGACGGTGTACCGTGCGGGTTGCTCTTGGTACTTCTCTGTCAACACAGTGGATCGTTGGAGCAACCCCATGATTGTTGTGGTCTGCTTTGGCAGACCTGTCGTCGGGGCGTCGTGGTTGAGTGCCATTAAGACGGGGGAGGTTCTGTTGGGTTTTAATGGGTAGTACTGGCTTTTCTAGCCGGTAAATCCTACATAACCACCTGTATTTCTACAGGTGGCATGCGTAAATGCATTTCCCAACATTAAAAAAGGTGCCAAATTATACGGCTAATAAATAATTTTGATAATTTTCCTGTTTAATTGCCTTTTAGCGTTATACTACTGATAGCTGGTTATCCGGGTCAACAAATAGGATACTTATTACCGCGGGAAAAAATCTCATTTCTGAGATAAGATACAAAAACTGCAACTGTAAGAGTATACTAATATGTAAAACCTAAGAATTTGGTTTTTAGTAATCTGAACGCGGGCGGAGCCGCGGGCAATGCTAGTTTACTATAAAAGCGCATGGCAATTTCTACTGTGTCTATATCGACCACATTTTGGATGTGAACTATCCTGGCATAGAATTATGTCAAGTTTTTGCTTAGAATTTATAGATTCACAATTTTGGTGAAGCCAAAGATAAAAATTATAATATTAACATTACATTTTAAGTTCTTAACACTTCTAAATAGTTGGCGGATACATTCATGATTTATATACTTTGTGTTTTAAGATATTAAGAGAAATAAACAAAAGTTTTTGCAATTATTAAATTGTTCATTTTTTAGTAGTCCTAAGAGCGTCCCTAGAGATTGTCATTATGTTATAATGTCAGTAACATAATCTATACATACATATACTAAAATTCTAACTGAGTCGAATCTGTACATCTCATCTCTGAGAAATCTATACTAAACGTTAAAAAGTAAGTACGGACGAACCCGTGCGGAGCTAGGGTGAGTCGCCAGTATCTTTACATAGTATAAAATAAAGTCGCTTCCACTGTCTGTTCGCTTAGATCTTTTAAACTACTCAACGGATTTTAATCCAGTATTCAGCAATGGATAGAGTGATTCAAGATGAAGTGTGAGGTATATGTATAATACATGTATGTTTTAGTACAGAAAAGCCGAGAATTTCAAAGATTTATTAAGATATATTTATATATAAATGTTGAATTAATAACCCTATTTAATTATTTTGAAGTCCGTTTCAAAAAAAAATTACATACATAAAATATAAGTAATAATATAGTAAGTAAGTATAATTTATTTTGGCCTTGAAATCAAAGCTATTTTCTATTTTGGTTTAAACGAACTATCTAATGTAATTAAATAATGCTTTTTACAATACTTCCTACAAATTTATAAATACATAATTTATCACAATAAATTTAATATAAATTGGAACTTTACTACATGCCATTAAAAAGTTTATTTTTTACATACAATCAGTGCATGCATGCTTGTTGTTTATTATAAACTAACCAAATAGATACTAAAATATAAACTTAGGTCTACATTAGGTCTAAATTGACATATAAAAGCTAGAAATTATATAAATTGTATTCCTTCCATAGTGACATAGGTGTCGGCAGTTATGAGCTAACAGATCAACACGTATTGCCAACGTAGTAACGTCACACCTACATTTGTTCATTCGGGAAGTGCTTGTACTGGATTGCTAACGACCGTTTTAACTGATTTTGTAATGCAGTGACGCGTTATTATTATAACACAATAACAATTACTTCAAGGATTTGTGAAATCGTTTTATTATGTTTTTGTTCTTTCTTCATATTGTTTCTACTTTATGATCTATGTTTTACCTTATATATTTCATTTTTTTAACATCCCATTTTCTTGACTTTTGGCGAAAATTAATCACGCTAGCGATTGTGTTGCATTGTAGATATACAATACACAATAAAAGTTATGTGCGTTAAGTTCTTTTAAATTGCAAGTTTCTAAAATGTCTTTTGATCTTACATAATTATTTAACCAACTTAATCTATACTACTTAGATAAAATAAAATAATCCATTGTAATAAAATATTATAAAGAGGCAGAGTTTGTTTGTTTCAACGTGCTAATCGCAGGAATTATTAATCCGGTTTCAAAAAAATTCTTTTTGCATTACATAGTCCATTTATTGAGGAAAGCTATTACTATAGACTATTAAGACTATACGACTATAGACTATTATCATATACTATAGTCTGTCTATTCCATATTAACCTTTAAAATGTACCTACGGACGAGCCCGAGCGAAGTCGGGGTGAGTCGCTAGTCAAATCAAATCAAGTAATAGTTAATAATAATATAAAAACCTACATTTATTTCCAAAGCGAGCAAACTTTTTACCTAATTTTTTTTTTTTAGGTTTTCGTGTATCAGATCTAAGCCCAGAATTAAAAAGATCTCGCTTGTCTGTTAATTTAATAATTTAATAATTTAACTGTGAAATTAATTCAATGACGCACGTAAAGCGTAAACAAAGTAACTCCGATACCTATACGATGTGGTGTGTCTGGCATAATATTAAAAAACATATTTTAGAACATAATCTTTAAAAATGTTAACGAAATAAATATTTGGGCAATAATAATCTCAAAACTTATAAAAACAAATATATTTATTACAAGCCTTCTATGTCTCAACATTCCTATGTTATACCTATATAAACCAGAAAAAGTTAAGGGGAGTGTGCCTCTAAGCCAATTATTTCAAATGCTTGTATGGGGAATATATTTTTTGATCCCAAATTAAAAAAGGTGAAGGCTGTTAGTAGTAAATATCAGCTTACGACTTTTATTCCTTACCAGGATGAATATAATAACCACATATTATTACAGTCCCCTGGCGCGTTAAGTTTATGTTTGTTCAACATTATCTCAGAAACTAGGTCCTGTACGAATTTTCACACCGTTTTCACCAATAGAGTGATTATGTGTATGCAGCCCTTTTTAACGTTCCATGTCCCACTGCTGGGTACAGGGCTCCCTTCAATACGAGAAGAATCAAGCTATAGTCCATCACACTGTCCAAGTGCGAGTTTGCGGACTTCACATATCTTCTGAAAACTTGCTAGATTTTCTCAGATGTGCAGGTTTTTCTCACATGTTTTTTAATCATAAGACAAGTAGTAATTATGTTGGAAATTATTCGCACACGAAAATATCGAAAGTGCAATTTCGACCCGGGATTTTGATGCTGGGGTTACCACCGCCTTTAAATATGAATAGGTGGTATGTATGCTATAATTTATGAAAATTTTGCGAAGATAATTTACCGGCACTATGATAAATATTATAAATGCGAAGGCCCGAAGAGTATCTATCGTTCACAACGCGGGTCATTAGTTTTAAATAAAATGTACTTTTAAAGCATCGTTAGTATATATTGCCAATTAATTCTTATCTTGCAATAATGTAAGAGCAACTATTTATATTTCATATGTTTTAATATAAAAATGGACCCAAAGCGCAACTTAAAATTAAAGGATTATAAATTTGTTATTTTAATATTTATTAATGATTATATAATTTGTGAATATAAAATATAATTTATTTTCTTATTATCTATAATGGCAGATATTAAACGTAATTTTTACTCGTCAATAAATCACAAATATCCTGACACATTAATGTTCGAGAAACATTAGGAAGGTATGAAACTTGCTGAATATTTGCAATTAAAATTATTATAAACATACGAAGTATTTGTGTATATTGAGTTTGAAATTTACATGTCATATATCCTGGTAACGTCAGCAACTATTTAAATCTGACGTCTTATCTGCATTATGTAACAATTTTGCACTAAATATTACGGAAACTCTTACCTATATGATTGGCGGAAGTCAAACCGGCGACCTTACTCTTTGTGTCACATTCTTTCATTGCCACAAGTTTATGCATTTTATAAAAAGGTATGTACATTTGTTTGTTTGTAACCTATGTATTCCGAAAACCAATGAAAATGAAACTTTGCTAAGGAATTAAGTACATCACTGGAAAGTTTTCTGACAGAACCTTTAAATTATGATAACTAGCGAATTGTATGGATTGTATGGTTCATGTCAATTTACACCTGAACGAAGACAGGATTTGTTGCTAATATTATATATTTTTGAATAGAATGTCTTGAATAATTAGTTACATGAAACCCACCATATTTTAAACTGGTACCTTTAAATAAATTGGTCTACTATTATAAATGTGATTGTTTGTGTTGGTGTGTATATGTACTCATGCATATTTATTACTCATTCATGCTACAACTGGACAAACTTGGATTGAAAAGTACAGATAGACTATGATCTGAAGTAAAAAAGGCTTCTTTTAAGCACCTAGAGCGAACTAGGTCTATACATCTAAT